TTCCCGGCCCTGTGCTCTGTGGCCTCTGGCACTCTCAAATCCTGCTGTGGGGGTGGCCCCAGGCCCCAGAAAGCCCCTTTCTCCAGCTGCCTCCGCACGGGGGTCCTGTCCTCCCTGGGCGAGTTTTGGGAGGAGAGGCAGGGCGCTCAGCACCCAATGGCTTGGGTTGGAATCCCCATCCCCCGATTCCAGGCACTGGGCCTGGGCAGGGTGCTGGGCTTGGTCAGGGCGGAGCAGGCCTGGAAGGAGCAGAATTCTGAGCAGGCTCCAGGGCAAGGGCTGGTGATGCTTTGGCATTCAGAGCATAATGTGCTTTCTAGCAAACCAGATGTCAGCAGAGCTGGTGTGGGTGTGGGACATGGAAAGGCTGGGGGTGGGGTGGGAATTGAGAAATGCCAGAGCCCAGGCACGGTCCCTCAGTCCCTTGGTGTCAAAGGGCACAGAGGTGGCCACCTTGAAATTCACAGGACCGGTGCAAGACCTAACAGCCCTCTGTGTGGCCTCAGACGGCAGAGCAGGGCAGCAGCGGCCACCCGGGCAGGGGGAGCGTGCTGGTAAGGTGACCCAATCCCTGCGTGCGGTGTAGATGCTGCCCTGTGCTGGGCCTGACACCCAGGGTGCACGTGGTTTCATGGATTGCTAGGGAGAAGCCCAGTCTGCAGAGGTGGCCCTGGGGAGGCAGCAGGGAGCTTCCTCCTGGGGATGCAGCTGGCCTTGCGCTGGAGCTGGACAGCTCTGCTCTGACCACAGTGTCGGGGGGCAGGAGCAGTGGCAGGTAGAGGTTACAACTGAGATTGTGGATGAGGGGCAGCCCCGGGCCCCAGGCAGCTTTCACGGGGTTGAAGGCAGGAAGTGCCGGCTACTTGGTTCTGCCCAGGGAGCCGGGAACAGGAAGTCCCCTGTGGGGAGGAAGCCGGGGCAGCCACAGGCCTCATGCAGCAGGAGTGAGCTGTGGGCGCAGCGTGCTGGGCAGCCAGAGGCATCAGGCCTCACATGTCTGGGAGATGCCGGCTGCCTGGGCTGGTGGGCCCTGAGCTGCATGGCCTCTCTGTGCCCCAGGACACCGGCACCCAGCAGGTCACCAGGAAGGAGGAGGGCCATGTGTTGGGTCAGCGCCATCAGGTCAGTCGGGTGGCCCCAGGACTGGGGGCTCGGGGGGTGGCACTGGCCTAGCACCTGAAGAACCAGTACGGGAGCCCCATGTGGGAGCCACAGCCTTCCCTGGGGCTGGCCAGAGTCCAACAGGACTTGGCCCTGGGCCTGCAAGAGGCAGCAGGCTCTGAGGAGAGGAGCCTCTGCCTGGCTTGAGAGGTCCCGGGGCTGAACAGGCCCAGGGGAGCCCAGGGAGGGCATGAGATGCTAGAATGCCCCTGCCCTGTCATGTGTGGCCAACAGGGAGGTGGGGGCAGCCTGCTGGGGTGGGGCCCAGGTCCGGCAAGCCCTCCCCCTGATAAGCCTATAGGGTGACCTTGGTGTTTGGGTCCTGAGTACATAAATGTGTGTGTGTTTCTGTGCGTGGGGGACGGAGAGAGCTGCACAAGGTCCCCGTCGCTCGCCTGGGGCATGCAGGAACCGGGCTGCCGGGCTGGGGTTGTGCTCATGGAGCCCAGGCTGTGCACCCTGCCCCTGGCCGGCAGCGCTCGCTGGCGTAGCTAGTTACTGGGTCTTTATGGGAAAATTTTGGTTTTGATTATGTTAACAGAAATGTTCTGGGAAGAGGAAGGAAAGAAGGGAAACTGAAAGAAAAGAGCCGACAGCTGCGGCGAGGCAGGGCTGCCGCGTCTGTACATCCCACCCTCGCCACCGGCCACCCACGGTGCGCCAGCTGGGCCCATGGACGTTACTGGCTGTGTGACTTTGGCCAAGTTTCTTTGCCAGTGACCTGGGGAGGACTCTGGATTGAACTTCAAGGTGTTGCGTGATGGTGCGGGGCAATCTCTGAGATTGGCACGCAGGAAGGGCCCAGAGCCCTCCCCCACAGGAGGGACCTCCATACCCATGTCTGTAAAAGAGGACTGGAGTACGGAGCTCAGGTGGACCCCGTGCGGATTTAGTGAGCTGTGTGGTAGAACTTGGCACTGGGCCCTGGCAGGGCTGGGAGTGGAGGGGATGATTCTCACCTGTGCACAGGTTACAGGACCGAGGACCGCACGTGACGGCTCTCGTTGGTCGGTGGAGGCTGTGTGTGTGAATGCTTGCATATGCATGAGTGTGCGTGAATGTGTATGAATGCGTATATTCCTATATGTGTGGGTGAGTGTCCACATGTGAGTACATGAGTGTGTATGAGAACATGAGAGCAAGGGCATGTAGAATGATATGGATGGTGTGAGTGATAAGTGAACATGCGTGGGTGTGACAGCATGCACAGATGAGTGTGTGAATAAGTGCACAGGGTGACCGACCTGGTTTCTTCTCCCTTTGGGCTGGATCCCCAGCCCCACCTTGCCCTCTGGGTCCCACAAATGGGACCAACCTGGTCACTACTAACAGTAAGTCCTTGACCCTGTGCTGGCTCCCTCGTCACAGCCAGGATGAGCCTGCAGGAGCCCAGCCTTCCTCCCCTGCCCTGCTCTCATTCAGGGGTTCACATCCGTGGGCATGTGCAACCTTCCACACATGAGCTATTCAGCTCATGTGCACGTCCCGTGTGAGTGTGAGTGCACCACCTGTGACATGAACTGGGTGTGCAGAGACACAGCACACATGAGGGCCTGCGCAGGCCATGACCATATATGCCTCGGGGCTCATGGGGCCCCAGGGTGGTAGGAGCCATAGAGCCTGTGTTAAGTGGAACCCAATGAGCTGTCTCTGTAGGACTGAGCGCTTTTCACCTGCCTGCTCCGCCCCCCACCCCAGCAGCCTAAGGCCTTGGGGTCACCTGAACCAATTGCAACTTTGAGAGGAGGTAGGGAGATGAGCACAGAAACAGAGACCTGGAGAATGTGTCCCAGGTGCCCCGCCTTCCCTAATGTGCACACATGTGCGCACACACACGCTCAAATGCACACCCACATGTGTGCACACACGCAAAGATCACATACTTTCTGCATGGGATCATGGAGCCCAGCAGCCACCACCAGCCCATGTTTCCAGAGCCCTGCCCCAGAGAGCAGCTGCAGGGGTATCAGGGGACCCTGAGGTGTGGACTCCTCCATACCCACTTTACACTGGAGGAGGTGGGAGCTCAGTGGAAGAAGGACCTGGTGAGGATGTGAACTCAGGTCTTCAGACTCTCCCTCACAGCTCCCACCCATCTTAACTCTGCCGACATGGCAGCAGCATGGTGACAGGTCCCCACCAGGGCGTCTGCCTCTACAGAGGAAGGGACTGAGGCACCCAGAGAGCTGGCAGGAGTCCCCTGGAATGAATGAATGGAATTTAACCATCAGGTCCCTGGGAGAGGGGCTGGACACTGAGAGGCACAGGCAGGGAGGCCTGGCCAGCTAGGAGTGTGGGTGCCCCTTTCGGATGGCCCTTGGCTTTCGCGAGCTTGGTGAAACCGGAGTCTGCGAGCTGGGCTGAAATTCCCCAAGAGCTACATGGCCACCATGGCCTCCATGGCCCATCATCACCCTTAGCCTCAGCCAACACTGCCCCTTTCTGCTCTCAGCCTGGCCTGGCACAGGGCTCCTGGGCAGGTGCCACCCCCTGGCACAGGGCAGGGCCAGGTAGGGCAGAGGATAGTAGGGTGGCAGGGGTGGGCTTCCCCTTGGATGGCCCCTTGTTTGGAGAGGGGCTGTGGGTGTCAGCGTCCATCCTGAAGTGAGGAATTCCCAGGGGAGGTGAGGGTGCTGCATGACCTGTCCTTGTCATGACCTGCCCTCCTGCCCAGGGTCCGTTGATGATCACCTAAGAGCCTTCATCCTGCCCACAGTGGGACAGAACCCAGGCAGGAACCAGCCCCTCACAGGCCTGCCCCTGCCTGGCCACTGAGCTGGACACACGTAGGACTGTAACCTGTCCCCCCAACTCTTCCTGCTGAGCCTTGCCCAGGTGTGGAGCCAGGAGAAGGTGGTGGGCTCCATCTGTCCTCACAGTGGCTCCTCCCACTTTGACACACAGGCCGGGTCTTCTTATAGCTTTCAGGTGGCGGGGTGCAGTGGGGAGTGATGCCCCAGGGTAGGGGCTCTGTTTCAGCTTCCTGTGCCTTCCAGGCAACTCAGTCTCCATCACCCACAGGGTGAACATTCCACCCTTCTTTTGGGGCTCTCTGGGTTGGGTCAGAGCTGGTGAAGCTGGGAGACAATGACCATCTAGTGTGGTCAGTGTCAGGGGCAGAGAAGGCTATGCTAGGCCAAAGGGAGGGACACAGGACTTCCAAGAGGTTATGGAAGAATGCCTGGAAGAGGGAATGCTTGAACTACCTCTTCCTTTTATTTTTGGATTGTTGCTCGTATATAGAAATAGCACTGATTTTTGTATGTTGATCTCGTATCCTACCACCTTGCTGCTCATTCTAATAATTTTTAAGCGGGCTCCTTGGAATTTTCTGTATATAAAATCATCTAATCAGTGAATAATTGTGCTTCTTTCTTTCCCTTTTGGATTCCTTTTATTTCTTTTTATTGTCTAATTACTCTGGTCAGGGTCTGCAGCACTATGCTGAATAGAGGTAGAGTAGGCATCCTTTCCTTGTTCCTGTTCTTGGAGGGAAAACGTTCAGTCTTTCACCACTAGGTGTGTCAGCTGTGGGTTTTCATAGAAACCTTTATCAGACTGAGGAAGGTCCTTTATATTCCCGGTTTGCTGACTGTTTTTCTTATCATGAAGGAGTGTTGAATTTTGTCAAATGCTTTTTCTTCATCTGTTAAGATCATGTGGTTTTTGTCCTTTATTCTATTGATATGGTAGGTTATAGTAATTGGTTTGAATATTAAACCATCCTTGCATTGCTGGGATAAATCCCACTTGGTGTAGAATCCGTTTTATGCGTTGCAGGATTCGGGTTGCTAGTATTTGGTTGAGAATGTTTATGTATATATCCATAAGGGATGTGGGTCTCTAGTTTTCTTGCGATGGCCTTGGTTTTGGTATTGGGATAATGCCAGCCTCATAGAATGAGTTCTGTTCTCTTCTACTTTCTGGAAGTTTGTGAAGGATCCGTGTTCTTTTGAGCCAACTCCTGAGGGCTGGATTAGTTCCGTTTCAACTTTAAGCTGGGGCAATAGCATGGCCTGCAAGTGGGTGTTTTGTAGATTCAGATAACTGGAGCCACAGGGTCTGCTGGCACAGGAGCACAGAAGGTAGAGAGTAGGAGCGGCTCAATCAGGAAGGGCCAGGTTGGCATGAGGAGGCCCCAGAGGTTTAGCACTGAGCAGTGATGGGAATGATTCTGTGCTGGGTGGAGGGGGCTGGAGGCCAAGGAGGCCTGAGGAGAGGAAGTGGAGGGGGTTCCAAGAGGCAGCCAGAGGGGCCAGGCTGGGTGACTTGAGGCAGGCCAGACAAGGGCACTGGGAACAGAGGCACTGAGGTGGGACAGAGCCTCAAAGCCTGGGTGCAGTGGGAAGAAGCCCAGAGAGTGGCTCTGAGGCGGGGCCTTGAAACCAGGGGTGGGTGCCCAGGGTGGACGGCTAGGTGAAGTCAGGCCCAGGCTGCTAGAGCCACACTGCACCTGACCCATCTTGGTGGCAGTCTGTGTGCAGGTGGAAGATGGAGGAGGCAGGATGCCTGGGAAGCCAGCAAGGGCCGCTGCTGGCCTTTGGCCAGCCCCAGGGCACTCTCTGGGCGAGGCGCCTACCTATGGGCAAGCAGCGTGGGAGTTGCCGAGGACTAGACCCCTGGCTCCTTGGAGAATCTCTGGCTGGAGGCTTGTGGAGTCCCCCAGGAAAGTGGAGAAAATGTGGGCGGGGTACGTGCCGGATCCCGTGCTCCCGCGCCGCCCGCCGTGCAGGTGCAGTTCTCCAGAGGCCACTTTCCCGAGGGGTGGGACCTGGGCGGGGCCTCAGAGCCGACGCTCCGCGCCTGCCTTGGATTTCCAGCCAAGCTGTCTGGACTCGCAGGTGTTGGGGGAGCGGGAGGCCTCCTTTGCTTGATGCAAAGTCTTCTGGATTCCTTCTTGCACCGACAGACGTGGGCCTCCTGTCTGTCCCCAGCGCCCACCACCCTCCGTGCAGCCCGGGGAAACTGAGGCCCGCAGGGGGCGGCCGCGCAGCGTGACGCGGCGGGGGCGGGGCCGGGAGGGGCGGTCCCGGGATCCTCACCTGCCCGCCCCGTCCCCCGCCGAGAGGGGAGGAGCCGGCGGCTGCAGGCCCGGGCCGGCGGGCGCGGCGGGCATGGCGGGATCGCGGCCGCGGAGCTGGGGCCGGCGGGAGGCGGGCGCCTGGGACGAGGCGGCGGCGGCGGCGGCAGCCGGGGGGCGCGGCCCGGGGCCGTGCCGGTGCGCGCAGGGGAGACGAGCGTGGGCCGCCCCAGGGAAGCCGGCCGTGCCCGCCGCGTGGACGCCGTGAGTACCGAGTCCCGGCCCCTGATACCCGGGACCCGTGCCGCGAGCCTCGGGGTCCGGACCCTGCACCGCGAGCCCCCGGATCCCAGGCGCTGCTCGCGCGCCCAAGCGCTTCCTGCGGGAACAAAGGCGGGCGTGGGCCGCCCCGGCGGGCGGGTGGGGGGCTCGGGCCGGCCCGGGGCTTGCGGGTCTGCGGGCAGCTCCCCGCGGGCGGGCTGGGCACGTGGCTCCCTCCCTCCTTCATTCTCACCGCGAGGCTCCCTCTGGCTGGGCGAGGTGGGGCGGGCGCCGGGGTGTGGCGGCACCTTTGTTCCAAACCTAGGCCTGCGGTTGGGGGCCCCGCGGCCGGGCCCCGCCCCTGACCCCTCCCCACCCGGAGGGCCTGGCTTTGAGTGCAGAGGGAGCTGCTGGGGTCCAGCCGGGTGACCCGGGCCAAGGCCAGCAGAAGACTGCCTGAGGCCTCGGAGACGTCCCTTTTGCACTCTGTTGGAGGGGGCCGGTTTGCTAAAAGCAGAGAGTGCTTTTCTTTTCTTTTCTTTTCTTTTGAGGCTGAGCCTCAGGCTGGAGTGCAGTGGTGCCATCTCGGCTCACTGCAACCTCCGCCTCTCAGGTTCGAGTGATTCTCCTGCCTCAGCCTCCTGTGTAGCTGGGACTACAGGCGCGAGCCACCACGCCCGGCTAATATTGCCCAGGCTGGTCTCGAACTCCTGATCTCAGGTGATCCGCCCGCCTCAGCCTCCCAAAGTGCTGGGATTACAGGCATGAGCCACAGTGCCTGGCCATACTTTTCTTTTTATTTATTTCGTTTTAAATATTTTGTTTTTGTTAGCTCTGGCTTTGTTGCCCAGGCTGGAGAGCAGTGGCCTGCCTGCTGGAATTCCTGGCCAATCCATCTTCCTGCATTACCTCCTCCAGGGACTATAGGTGTATACCACCAAGCCCAGCTAATTTTTTTTTTTTTTAAGAGATGGTGGTCTCTATACGTTGCCCAGGCTGGTCTTGAACACCTGAGCTCACGTGATCTGCCTGCCTCGGCCTCCCAAAGTGCTGGGATTGCAGGCATGAGCCACCACACCTGGCCTTGTTTTATCTATTTATGGAGACAGTGTCTTGCTTTGTTGCCCAGCTGGAGTCCAGTGGTGTGGTCAGAGCCCACTGCAGCCTCAAACTCCTGGGCTCAAGTGATCCTCCTGCCTCAGCCTCCTAGAGCAGCTGAGACTACAGATGTGTGCCACTGTGGCTAATTAAAAACATTTTATTTTGGTAGAGATGGGGTCTTGCTAAGCTGCTCAGGCTTAGTTTTCTTTATATGTCTTTTTGAGGGGTTGGAGCTGTAGTGGAACCAGTCCCAGCCCCACTGGGCATCTGGGTCTCACCTTAGCTGCTCCACTAAGGGCTTAACAGGACACTGGCCACTTGCCTGCTCCCATCTAACTCCACTGGGGCCCCAGGAGGCACCCTGCCCGGGATGGAGTGAGGGCAGGCACAGACAAACAGCACAAGGTGGGGGGTGCTGTCCATTGGGACCAGAGGTGAGGAAGACACTGGATTTAAGTTGGCAATGAGGGTGCCTAGCCAGAAGACGGGACTCAATCTGGGTCTTGGTGGATGAGTAGAAGTTCTCTGCATTGGACGGGGTGGAGGTCATTTCAGGCAGAGGAGGAAACGTGAATTAGCATGGTGGATTTCAAGGAGAGCATCTGGAGCATGAGTTAGGGGGGCTGGAGTAGGGGACAAGGCATGACGTTGGGTCCCATAGGCCTGGGCCAGCCCCAAGGCAGTCACTGGTCCTTCATTGCCTGTGCACTGTGTAGCCCTCAGAGGGAAAGGGAGTGATACCCCGCGCCGGTGGGGCGGATAGCAGCCCACCCATCCAGCGGTGGTCAGGGCCGCTGCTGACGACAGTGTGCTACGTGCCGGGCTGGGCGGTGTCTTTCTTCCTACAAAGTTACACCAGGATGGGAGCCCAGGTCGTTTGGCCTGGGAATTGAGGGCTCTTGGCTGCTCACTTACCTTCTTCCTGTCTAGGCCCCTTAGAGGCTCACCTGGCACTGGGACTTGGAGTTATGGCCTGAGGTCTGACTTACCTGGGCTGGAGGTCTTCTGAGTTGGTTCATCTCTACCCAGCTTCCATGAGGCCTTGGGCTCAGTCAGTGTGTGAGAATGAGCCAGTGGAGATAAAGGGTTACACGCAGCGCTCAGGACCCTGGGGTCGGGTGTGTGGCTGAGTGGACCAGGGGCTGACCGAGTGGTTCTGGTGGCTTCTCTTCCTGGGGTCCTACCCAGAAGCCCAAGGCCTTCAGAAAAGGGGTTTCCTTGCCTGTTGTGGCCTTACCTTCCGTGCTGCCTCCTGGATCTTGGCAGCTTCCCCCTGAGCGCCCGGCTCAACCGTCTCCTGCCCGACCGTAGCTGAGCCGCATGCCTCTGTCCTTGATTGCAGCTTCATGGCGGCCGAGGAGATGCACTGGCCTGTCCCTATGAAGGCCATTGGTGCACAAAACCTGCTAACTATGCCTGGGGGCGTGGCCAAGGCTGGCTACCTGCACAAGAAGGGCGGTACCCAGCTGCAGCTGCTCAAATGTGAGTCTCCGGGGTGGCAGGGAGCACAGTGGGAGGATATGGGGGCAGGGCTGGCCACACCAGCGAGCATCCTCCCTGACCCTCTGCTTCCTCACATGGTGGGCCCTCTGGATTTTCCCATCCCTTTCTGGTGGCTGGCACCCCTGGAGGACCTGAGGTTGGCCTTCCTAGTCCCCAGGACTATAGCAGGGTCTAGGGTGGTACACCTGGTGAGTGTTGGCCAGCTGGCAAGGGTAGCTGCAGCCTGCAGCCAGGGCCTGGGGACCACAGATGGCTAAGTAGGTCTGGCCTCTGGTGCTGCCCTCACTGAATCTGTGAGTGTTCAGTGAGTCAGTTCACCACTTGGCACACAGTGAACCTATGTGCCAAGTCCTGGCTGGGTGCTGGACCTCTGGAGCTGTACAATCCCAGGCTCTGGCTGCCAGGACAGCTGGCTAGGAGGAAGAAGGAGCCCTTCAGATGCTGAGACACTGAAGGCCAAGAGCATCAGGGCCTGAGCAGCAGGTGTTCTCTGCCAGGGACTCCCTGGCCCTGGGCTGCCTGGTTGAGATGCCCAAGGCTGGACGACTGGTTTCTGTGCAGGCACTGTTTGAGCTGCTCTCCTCTTCGCACAGACAGCCTCCTTGGAGGAGCTGTAACTGGCTTGCCCCCAGCCTGGGAGGAGCTGCTCAGGGCTGGGGCAGTGGAGCTGGGGTGATTTCACTGTGACTTCCCACCTGGGGGTGGCTCCACACCCGTGGATTTCACTGGCAAACTCTCTGGGCTCCTGAGCCTCCCTCTTTTAGTTTTTCGAGACAGGGTCTTGCTCTGTTGCCCAGGCGGGAGTGGAGCGGCACGATCATGGGTCACTGCAGCCTCAGCCTCCCAGGCACAGATGATCCTCTCAGCTGGGACTGCAAGCATGCCACTATACCCTGTTACTTTTTTTTAAGTTTTTTGTAGAGACAGAGTTTCATTATGTTGCCCAGTCTGGCCTAGAGCTCATGAGCTCACACAATCCATCCACCTCGGCCTCCGAAAATGCTGGGTTTACAGAGCTGCGAGCTACTGCGTCCAGCCTATTTTTTATTTATTTCTTTTTTAGAGACGGAGTCTCACTGTCACCCAGGCTGGAGTGCAGTGGTGCAATCTTGGCTCACTGCAACCTCTGCCTCCTGGGTTGCAGAGATTCTCCTGCCTCAGCCTCCCGAGTAGCCGGGATTACAGGCATGCGCCACCACACCCAGCTAATTTTTGTATTTTTAGTAGAGACGTGGTTTTACCACGTTGGCCAGGCTGGTCTTGAACTGCTGACCTCAGGTGATCCACCCGCCCTGGCTTCCCAAAGTGTTGAGATAACAGGCGTGAACCACTCCTTGAAGCCTTGGCCATCTTGCAGCTCTGGGTAGAGAGCGCCTCCAGCAGTCCTGCAGCACCCAGCAAGTCAGCTGTGGCCTCCCTGGACCTCTGGTCCTGGCTCTGTCCATCCCAGTCCTCCTGGTGGCTCCACACAGCCCCCGACTTCTTTGTCAGCAGCCAGGCCTGCCCTCTGGTGGTGCTCTGGGGCCAGCCAGTGTGCCCACAGACTTTCCCGTATTTGGCCCCAGAGTAGGCTCCTGGGGAGGGGGCAGCATGCCAGCCTTGCTCTCTGCTCTTCCATTCGGCGAGGTCTGGAGGCAGGAGGCCTGGCCCCAAGTTGCCCGGGGGCGGGTCCTCAGAATGGGTCTCGGCAGCTGCCCCTCCGGGCTCACCCTGCCCTCGCCACCCCCTCAGGGCCCCTGCGCTTTGTCATCATCCACAAGCGCTGCGTCTACTACTTCAAGAGCAGCACCTCCGCCTCTCCGCAGGGCGCCTTCTCCCTCAGTGGCTATAACCGGTAAGCGCCCGTCCTGCCTGCTGACCTCGGGTCCCTCCCCGCAGAGCCCTGACTGGGCTTGCCCCTTGTTCCCACCCAAGGAAAGTGCTTTCTTGAAGCAGCTTTCATGCCCATCCCCTGCCCTCCCCACCCAGCCTCCATGGTGCCTCGCCCTCTCTGCGTGTCCTGCCCTCAGGCCCAGGACCCCGGATGTGCCAGGTCTTCCTGTGTCTTCATGCACAGGTCCCAGGGTCCTGGACAGCCTGCTCTCCAGAGTCTCCACTCAGCCACCACCCAGTGACTTCTGCATCCCTTTTCCCTCCCTACCTTGCCCCTTCACCCACCGTGGCCTCTTTCCAGGTAGCTCAGACCCCAGCCAGCCTAGGCCCTGACCCAAACTCAGGCCTGGCCCCAGGATTTCCTGCTCCAGGGTCCTCCCAGGCCAGGATCAGTTCCCAGCTTCACATGTGTCCTGGGCTAGGCTCTACCCTGTGATGGGCCGTGAACTGCCCTCAAGGGCCTTCTGTGCTAACCAGCAGGTGGACAGTGGCCTGGTGGCAGGTGGGCAGTGGCCAGGTGGCAGGTGTGTGAGACATGCACTGGCACAGCCCATGGCCTGGGCCCCCCACAGAGGGTTAATGTTGGCACCGGGTTCTGGTTCTGGGTGCTGCCTCTCCAGAGCCCTGCACCCCACAGCATTTGTCTGTGCCTCTTACCACCCCTTAAGGGCCCAGCCCCTCCTGCCTATGAGGAACCAAGGGTCACATGGTAGTAGTGGGTGGTCTTGAAGGGGATAACATGTCAGGAGTGGGACCTTCGGAGCGACTCTAGGTCTGGCCCGCACTCGGTCACAGCCCTGGTAGGGCAGCCTTGCCAGAGCACCCAGCTCAGTGCCAGGCCCCCAGGCTGGCATGGGGCACTGGCAGAGAGAGGGAGGAGTCTCAAGGACCCTGGGCTCTGGGGTCCCCGGGGGAAGGTCATTGCCTTTCTACAGACGGACACTTTGCCGTCCAGCCTCCAGCATGTGTCAGCCACACCATGAACCCTGGGCCCAGTGGCAGGCACAGTCATGCCCCAAGGAATTGTCTAGCCCATCAGGGCATGCTGGGCCTGATGGGCCAGGCTCTGACGGGCTGGATGAGTGCACCCACCTCAGTGCCTGGCCGGCGGGGCTCCCCACACAGTGAACTTGGATCTCAGTGCAAATCTTACATCCTGGCTGTGTGCACGGCCACAGAGCAGCCACGAGTCATTCCCTGAAATGCATGCAGGGCTGCCGCTGGGCCACAGGGGCATGGAGCTCTGAGGGACCGCCAGGCAGGCCAAGCAGGCCTGGGCAAGTAGGACCAGAGGCAGGAGGGTGATGCCCCTGTAAAGCGGCATTGGTGGCCATCAAGGGGGTGTGTCCTTGTCTCCTGTTCCCCACTGCTCCCAGGAAGCCCTCTCATCACCCCTCTTCCATGCCCCTCCCTGCCCCCTTGCACCTGCCTGAGGGCCCCCACAGGGCTCCATGCCCCTGCAGCCCAGCAGCCAGGGCCCACCCAGATCTGCCCACTTCCGTTGGGGTGTGATGCAGGAGCAGAGAGACTCGTTCACGGGTGGGGGCTGTGGGAGGCCGTCCCTGCAGCTGTGAGCCAGGCTGTGACCCTGGTGCTGTGCCCTCAGGGTGATGCGGGCGGCTGAGGAGACCACGTCCAACAATGTTTTCCCCTTCAAAATCATCCACATCAGCAAGAAGCACCGCACGTGGTTCTTCTCCGCTTCCTCCGAGGACGAGCGCAAGGTGACTGGGGTTGTGGGCCTGTAGGCACCAGGCTGGGCCCCCCTTGGGCTCGCTGGTCCTAGGGCTGTGGCCTCTCAGCTCCAGCAAGGAGCAGCTGTGGCTGGGACACAGGGAGCTGGGTCGTTGTTGCCCCAGCCCCATCCCCATGCCCAGAGCCTGGTGCCAGCGCCCACACAAGGAATGTGCTGTCCTGGGAGGTGCCCCTGTGGGCTGAGGGGAGACACACAGCCATGCTGTACCCAGCAGGGTCACCTCCCTTGACCTTGGGAGTCACAGCAGAGCAGGTGGGGCAGTGAGGGTGGAGGGATGTGGTGGGGCCTGCCCTGGTGGCACTGTGCCCACTGCAGCCCCGCTGACCTGCAGAGCTGGATGGCTTTGCTGCGCAGGGAGATTGGCCACTGCCACGAGAAGAAGGACCTGCCCCTGGACACCAGGTGACCCTGGGCCTGGGGCATACTGGGCGGTGGGGGTCCCTGGGACTCCTGGGCCTCACCCAGTGCCTACCTCCCAGTCCCGGGCTTGGCACAGTATCCCCTCCTTAAACGTTTCCTGGAGGTGTCAGCTGGGCTGCATGTGTGGGCATGCACGCGTCTCTCTGCTCCTGTCTACCTCCAACCTGTCTTGTCACGTCTGTTTCTGTGTCACCACTGTGGGTAGTTCCTGTTGGGGTCAGGGAGGCCCGGAACGGCAGCATCTGGATGCTTTGCATTCCCAGCCTCCTACACCACCCTGGCTCACTCGGAGTGAGACCAGAATGAATCTCCAGGCAGGGCACCACCGGGCAGTCCGAGCCTTGGCAATCTTCCCCTTGGGCTGGCTCAATACACAGCAGATACTCTCTGGGCTGGAACTGCCTGTCCCGAGATGGTGCGGAGGAAACAGACCTTCCAGTCCTTTCACAGACAGGGAGAGGAGGCCCAGGGAGGGCTGGGCACACCCAAGGCTGCCCTGCAGGTCCCTGCCTGACCCCAAGCTCGTGGCCCCTGGTCCACGCTGTCCTGCCTTGGGCCCAGCCCAGCCTCGCCCAAGCCCTGTTGAGGCAGGAGCAGGTGGAGACGTGGGCGTGGTCAGGGTGGCCGTCTTTATGGGCCAGGAGGGGCAGCTAGTGGCCGCAGGGGCATGGAATGGCGGCACCACAGCCTTCAGTTCCTGAGTCTGTCCTTGTAACTGTGCGTGCATGTCCACGCGTTGCTGTGCGTCTTTGTGTGCACGTCTGTGCTTGTCTCGTGTCTGTGTTTATCTGTGTACACACGTCTGTGTGATGGGGTCCTTGTGTCTGTGTGTCCACATGTCTGTGCATGTCCCTGTGTCTTTGTGTGTATATCCATGTCTGTGTGCCTGTGTCCCTGTGTGTGCATGTGTGTGCACGTGCCCATCTGTGAACCTGCCGGCTTATCCATGTGTGTGCCTGTGTGTACCTTTGTGTCAGCATCAAGGGACCTCCCAGGGCTAGTGCTCACTGTCCACCCCAACCCACCCTGCGTTGCAGTGACTCCAGCTCAGACACAGACAGCTTCTATGGTGCAGTGGAGCGGCCTGTGGATATCAGCCTCTCCCCATACCCCACGGACAGTGAAGGTGAGGTCTTGCTCCGCATCCACTGCCCGCCCGCCTGTCCTCACCTGGCCGCTGACAGTGAGGGGCCCAGCCCTCCTCTTGGCCGCTGTGGAGGAGAGGGAGGTGTGTTGGGCTGTGCTCTTTGGCAGAGCGCAGTGGCATCCTGGGCCCTGGCCTTTGGCAGCAGGGTCTGGACTCACAGTCCGCCCAGCCGGTGCTTACCCCCTGCCTCCTGGGATCAGCTGTGCACGGAGCATTGCCGGGAGACTGGTCCGGGGCCACTTTTGCCCTCACCCCCCGCCCCTCCCATGCAGACTATGAGCATGATGACGAGGATGACTCCTACATGGAGCCCGACTCCCCGGAGCCCGGAAAGCTTGAGGGTAGGTGGGGCGGGTGGGCCTGGGGCGCTCTGGGTGCGTGAGAAGCAGGGGCTGGGACCAAGAGCAGAGCCCCTCTGAGGCTGGGGATGCTGGCCCAGGTACCATCCTGGGTGGCCTCTGTTTCTCTTCTGTGGCCCAAGTATTAATGAGGATTGGAGCAGAAGAGGTGTATCTGCCGCTAGCTCTGCTTATCTGCTCTTCCCACCTCCCAGGAGGAGGGGTGGGTACACGGCGGTGCCAGGTGGAGCCAGGGCGGCCCTGGAGGCTGAGGATAGGGCCCTCTGGGGCCCCAGTGCCAACAGTCCTTTAGCCCACCAGGATCTGCTAGCTGCTTGCCTCAGTTTCCCTCCATGCAGAGCTCTTATCCCACAGTGTCCGTCATGCCCATCCCTTTGCCTGCACACTCCTGCCTCCAGTCTTAGCCCGGCTGGCCCAGCCCTGGTGAGCTCAGGCTCCGTCTGTACCACCCTGAGCTGAGGCCCAGCAAGGCTAGAGACGGGCCTGGGGAGCAGCCAGTGCTACTGATCCACTCTCCCTCTCTCTGGACCCTCTTCGACCTCTCCCCAAAAAGTTTCTCATCCAGGACTCCTGTGGCCTCCCCATTCCCAGTTCCAGCGGTCAGTCCTGAGCCAGCCCAGCCTGGCACCCGCCTTGTTCCTCGCCTGCCTGTTTTCTGGGCATCCCATGCCCCCAGGGTCTTCTGCCTCCTCAGCTCCTGTGCCGGCCCCGTAAGGGATACCCGGGGCTCAGGCCTCACTCCTCTGCAGAATTCCCAGGGTGATACCCAGGTCATCTGCAGGCTGCCGGCTCTGACTCCTATCCGGCCGGGACCCCTGAATTCTGCGCTCACGCCCTGCCCATGCCCCCGCAGCCCCTGTCATCTCACAGCTTTCTGGACTTGTTCAGAACAAACACAGGCCTTTACCTTCCTCGCAGCAGCTCCCCTGCCCTGTCCTTTGGAATTCCGTCCTCCCTCCCGCCCTGGCCAAGCCCTAAGGTCCTCTGTGACTTTTTGGAATTCTGTCTTACCTCCCGCCCCTGCCAAGCCCTGAGGTCCTCCGTGACTTCTCTTCCTTTCACTTCCTTCCACCTATGGGCACCCGATGGCTCCTCAGGTGTCTTCTAGGCTTCAGGAAGCGTCCACAGGCTGCCATAGGGAGGATGGAGGGGGACAGCTGGGGGCGGTGGGTGGTCTGGGACCCTGGGGAAGGCAGGATGGGAGTGCTGGCTGTTGGGTTGCAGGGGTGGGCAGGCCATGGGGTGGGCCTACCACGGGTTACAGTCCTGGTTGGCTCTGCCGACCATTGCCAGCAGAGGGTAGTGTTGGCCCAGCCTCTGTCAGGGTCCAACATGGGTCTCTTTGCTCTGCAGATGCCCTGATGCACCCACCGGCCTACCCACCACCCCCAGTGCCCATGCCTAGGAAGCCAGCCTTCTCTGACATGCCCCGGGCCCACTCCTTTACCTCTAAGGGCCCCAGTCCCCTGCTGCCACCCCCACCCCCTAAACATGGCCTCCCAGATGTTGGCCTGGCTGCCGAGGACTCCAAGAAGAACCCACTGGGCCTGAGGTGGGCTGAGCCTTACCCCAGGGTACCTGCTACCTCCCGGAGGATGAGCGACCCCCCAATGGGCAGCGTGCCTACCACACCTGGCCTTCGGAAACCCCCTTGCTTCCGGGAGAGTGTGAGCCCCAGCCTGGAGCCCTGGAGCCCTGGCCACGGGGCCTGCTCCACTTCCAGTGCCACCACCCTGGCCACTGCCACCTCCAGAAACTGTGACAAACTCCAGTCATTCCATCTGTCCCCACGGGGACCGCCCACATCTGAGCCCCCACCTGTGCCAGCCAACAAGCCCAAGTTCTTGAAGACAGCTGAAGAGGACGCCCCAAGGGAGGTGGCCAAGCCTGGACTCTTTGTGCCCCCCGTGGCTCCCCGACCTCCTGCACTGAAACTGCCAGTGCCTGAGGCCACGGCACGGCCTGCAGTCCTGCCCAGGCCAGAGAAGGCTCAGCTCCCCCACCTTCAGTGAGTTTGTGCGGTGACTAGAAGCCCTGGTCTGGCCTCTGATGGGTACTCTCCCCCCACCACCGCCCCTGGCACTCTTAGCCCACGACGGGGTACCGGGTGCTAGGATAGGAAGGTTCCCTGATGCCTCCAGTCCGCTTCGGTGGGGTGTAGAGCATGTCCGTGACAGCCCTGAAGACTGCCGGAAATGCTGTGTATTTTTTCTTTTTGGAACAGGTGCCCAGGCTGGAGTGCCGTGGTACAATCTCAGCTCACTGCAACCTCCGCCTTCCGGGTTCAAGTGATTCTCTTGCCTCAGACTCCCAACTAGCTAGGACTACAGTACAAAAAATACGCCCAGCTAATTTTTTGTATTTTTAGTAGAGCTGATCAGGTTGGTCTTGAACTCCTGGCCTCCAGGGATCCATCTGCCTCAGCTTCCCAAAGTGCTGGGATTACAGGCGTGAGCCACTGCATTCAGCTGAAATGCTTTCTGCTTTATTTCTGGGAAGTGCCAGGAGACCAGTGTGTCCCCCATTCCCACAGAGTCACCCACACCAATGGCTGTGGTCAAAGGCATCTGGGCCCCAGGCAAGCTTCGTGCCTTGCCTGACAGGCAAAGACTCCAGGAACTGCAGGGCAGGCTTCGCATGGGTGCGCTGGCTGCACGCACAGCCCCGAACGCCCTTGCCCGCCCCTGAGTGCCCTCCCAGGGCTCTGCCCACACCTCTGAGACACCTGCCTGTGTGGAAGCACCCGTGAGCAGCCCTGGCCACGCTCGTGGTTCTGGTTAACAAGGGCTGCAGAGGTGCAGATGCTCGGCAGTCATTTTCCCACGACTGTGGGGACAGCGGTCCAGGGCTTAGCCACACCCACAAGCTGGCCACCCATGCCGGCCTGGCTCTGTGAATCCTCCCTAGAGCCTCTGAAGCTCTGCTGAGCAGGACTGCCTGGCCACACGGGAGGCTTGCAGGGCTCTCCCATGGGATCACATTGCATTGTTCATCTAGTTCACATCTGCCACTCCCCTGTGGCTCTGAGTGGGCTGTGATTTGGCCAAGGCCAGACCTCCCCTCCCCAAGAGCGTCCAGAGTACTTGTTCATGGTGTGGACACCGAGCTTGGGCCCTTGGGCCCCCCTTGCCAGCATCCATGGCCGCCCTCAGGTGTCAGGTGATTCCTGCTGCCCCAGGACGGTCACCACGAACCTCTCCTGGATCTCTGTTGTCCTGGGCCTTTTATGGTCACGGGCCATAGCAGGCAGCTTGTGTCCTCACACAGGGTGGAGTGGGGAGGGGAGCAGAGGGTGGCTTGCCCCGTGTCTGACAGTGAAATGGTCCTGCCTTTCTCTCCCTGTCCCTCCAGGCGATCGCCCCCCGATGGGCAGAGTTTCAGGAGCTTCTCCTTTGAAAAGCCCCGGCAACCCTCGCAGGCTGACAGTGAAGGGGAGGACTCAGACGAGGACTATGAGAAGGCAAGGCTGAGCAGCTAGCCCAGGTCCCCGTGGCCAGTAGATGGACAAGTGGTGGGAGAGCCATAGGCCAGGACGACCCCTCACTGGCCATCCTGAGTGAAGAGTCCCCAGAATCCGGGATCCTAGGGGAACACAGCACCAAGCAAAGCCCCGGATCCTGGGACTGGTGGCCGCTGTCAGGGAGTGGTGGTGTGGGTGGATGACTCCGACCTTGGCACTGACACCATCGGCCTCTTGCAGGTGCCACTTCCCAACTCGGTCTTCATCAACACCACGGAATCCTGCGAGGTGGAAAGGTCAGCATGTGCTGGGTACCCCACTGCGCCCCGTCTGCCTGCTGCTCTGTCTCCCTCACTAGCTTTTATGTTGGGGGGTTGCTGGCACAAGTACATGGCCCTGCATGCAGTAGAAACCAGAGGAGTGGGGCCCTGCTCTGTCCGTTGCCCTGCTGATGCCCTGGCTGGCCTGGGCTCTGCCAGACTGGTTCTCCAGCCTCATGGCAGCCGGTCACTCTCAGCACCTGAGACCTACAACAGCGAGGGGACAGAAAGCCAGGCTTGGGACCCGGGCGGGAGGGTCCCCGTGGAAGCTGCCTGAGGAGGGTTCACCCACTAATATGAATATGACTGTCTTATTTTAGGCTGTTCAAGGCCACCAGCCCCCGGGGAGAGCCCCAGGATGGACTCTACTGCATCCGGAACTCCTCTACCAAGTCGGGGAAGGTAGGCACCCGGGGAACATGCCCAGGGCTCCGTGCTGTCGGCCCCTCTGCCTCTCCAGGCACCCAGGTTGTGGCGGCCCAGACTCCCCAGTCCCTAGACCACTCCTCTTGTGGACTCTGACTTGATTTCTCAGCCGAATTCTCTGCCCAGCAGCGCCCCCAGTCTATTCTCTAATGGATCTCCATCTGCAAAGTGGGGGCAATGATGGCCACCTCCCAGCGGGGGCCAGGACTTGGGTGGGGTAGGGCTCGTGCACTGGGGTTGGGGTGGCCACCTGGGACGGGGAACGCCAGGGCTGCCCGCGTCCCTCCGGGCGGGACGGTGTGACCTCACTGGGCCATGCTCTCCCAGGTGCGTCGGAGCGGTTATTGATGGTTATGAGCTGTTGCTTAGAGACTTTCTCAGGGCTTCCAGTGTCATCCCTGCTGTCCCTGTGCAGGTGATCTGGAGCCCCTCTGCTCTCCCAAGGGCCACGGGACTTACCCTTGATGCTTCTGTCCCCCTCTCCCTGGCCCATGATCCCCTGAGAGTGGTCCTCCTTTCTCTTGAAGCTATCAGCCTCCTGCTTCCCTCCTGTAGGTCCTGGTTGTGTGGGATGAAACCTCCAACAAACTGAGGAACTATCGCATCTTTGAGAAGGTGAGAGGGCTCTGAGTGGGACGGGGACCCCGGCCACATGGCGTGGCAAGGGGCAGGGCAGAATCTCCCTTTTTCAGGCATAGGCAGCGGGTAGACTAAGACCCTCCCCTTCCCCCTCCACCATCCCTCATCCCCCACCCCTCCTGCTCAGTCTCCCTCCTCTCCTGGCCTAGCTTTGTCCTCCACTGACCCTAGAGGGGATGGGTGGTCAGCCTAGACCCTGGGTTGCTTGCCTTTTTCTTTTTGTGGGGACAGGGGTCTCACTGTTTCTCAGGCTGTTGTCAAACTCCTGGGCTCAAGCAGTCCCCCCACCTCAGCCTCCCACAGTGCTGAGATTACAGGCACAGGTCACCGCGCCTGGCCCAGTCCCTAGGTTCACTCATCGACCCTGCCTGCAGTGCTCCGGGTGCAGGCTCCTGGACACTGGGACGGAGGGGAAGTGAGGTGGGAACATGGCGAGCACAGGCCTGATTCGGAGGCTGACCTGGGGGTCCCACTGACAGCCAAGAACTGGCCTGGCGATGCCGCCATTGCTGCTGCCTCATTTTACAGAGGGGAGACTGAGGCCCAGAGCTGCAGAGTGGCCTGGCCCTGCTGATGCTTCCCCTTTCTGCCCCCACAGGACTCTAAGTTCTACCTGGAGGGCGAGGTCCTGTTTGTGAGTGTGGGCAGCATGGTGGAGCACTACCACACCCACGTGCTGCCCAGCCACCAGAGCCTGCTGCTGCAGCACCCCTACGGCTACACCGGGCCCAGGTGATGCCTGCCCGTGTGGCTGCCAGACAGGCAGTCACAGGGGCCCTGACCCCAGGCCATACCAATGGACACGGGCCCACATGGGAGGGTGAGCGGGAGCAAGCCTGTGCTTGCCTAGGGCCTCCATGATGGATGTCTTCTAGGGCCCAGCCAGTCTCATCCAGCAGGCCGGGCTCCAGGGCTGGACCAGGCTCTAGGCTCCAGAGGACGAGGGGACTCTCTTATCCCACACGACCTTGCCCTGTCCCAACCCCAGAATCCCAGGACCAAGCCCTGCCTGGGCTCTGAGGACAGGAAACTGGTCCCCCCAGCACACAAACCCCACAGTGGGCTGGGAGCCAGGCAGGGTTGGGGCAGATGGTTGGGGGCTGGGGCTGGCCCTGGGACCCCCAAGGAACGCTAAGACACAGGCTCCAGTAGGGGCTGTTGCCCGTAATAAAGCAGCGATGACCTTTGCCTTGGGGCTGAGGCTTGATTGGGAAGGAGGGCGTCAGCAGCTTACTGGGTGCCCACACCGATGTCCGAGTGCTATGCAGCAACCCAAGAGGTGCTTGTCTTGTCTTCCAGGGTGCAGGCTGCTAAAGTGACTTCCCCAGGGTGCACGGTGTGCAACAGATCAGGACCCAGTGACTTCCCAGGGTGCACGGTGCGCAACAGATCAGGACCCAGTGGCTTCCCCCAGGGTGCACGGTGCGCAACAGATCAGGACCCAGTGGCTTCCCCCAGGGTGCACGGTGCGCAACAGATCAGGACCCAGTGTCTTCCCCCAGGGTGCACGGTGTGCAACAGATCAGGACCCAGTGACTTGCCCAGGGTGCACGGTGCGCAACAGATCAGGACCCAGTGACTTGCCCAGGGTACACGGTGCATAACAGATCAGGACCCAAACTTGGGCCATCTGGGCTGGGGCCCCACACCCCATGCACCAGTTCTGCTGCCTGGGTCAGGCCAGGGCAGAGCTAGAAGGCCCTACAGTTAGGGCTGGTTCATTCCCTGCATTAGTCCATGGTTACTGGGGATCTCCTTGTGCCGGTCCCTGTTCTAGAACTCGGCATCCACTGAGTGGGCCATAGAGCTAGAAGGCCCTGCAGCTACATCTGGTTAATCACCTGCATTAGCAAGCAGTTACTGGGTACCTCTGTGTGCCTGTTCCCATTCCAGACAGGGGGCCTCTGGCCTGGCTGAGTTTGAGTTCACGGCCCAGTCGGGACAGCGGGGTATGAGGCGCTTATGGCATAGTGTCCAGGGCAGCTGGGCACACAGGGACTCAGCGCTTCCGGAAGACTTCTTGGAGGAAGTGACAGCCATGATGGGAAGGAACGGTGGGTCCTAAGCAGACCAAGGGTGGGTAGAGATGGTGGTACTCAGATGCCCAAGCCCTCCAGGCAATACCCGGCTTGGCCCAGCCCCAATCTGTCCCCTCACTTTCTACCATTGAGTTCCAGCAAGTCACTGTCCCTGGCACACCCTCTGGGCTGAATTTTTAATGAAACAGACTCGGGGAGGTCAGGGCTGGCAGGGACCCTAGGATTGTTGTGATTTTTCTCAGCGCTTTATGTCAGGGAAACCTGAACTGAGGCTAGCACTTGTGCCACTGACAGTGACTGACTGCTGGGGGAAGGTCCTGCGGCCCCTTCCCTGGGGTATGTTCTGGGGGCCTGTGGTTTGCTGGAGGAAACAAGTGATGAGGCTGGTGGGAGACTGTGGCCCCAGGGGGCAGTAGGGTGTGGTGGAATGACAGGCCCTGTGGACAGCGGCAGTCAGCTGCTTCCAGGAACCAGGTGGCCAAGGCCACCTCTGCAGGGGTTTCCGTTCAGCCTCCCTGGGGAGAGCGGTTGGGCCCCATGGCTGAGGCTAGGGCACAGGGAGCTTCTGTGGTTCTGCTCTGTCTCTGGAAAACCAGCTGTTCGTCCTCCCTGTGGTCAGAATTCTTTGCCCTGTCTGACCTGAACTTGCTTAGGAAGTCATGCTACTCCGCCACTGTGGCCACAGTTTCTCTTCCTGTAAGATTTTATTATTTTATTAATTTTGAGATGTAGTCTTGCTCTGTTGCCCAGGCTGGAACGCAATGGCGCAATCTTAGCTCGCTGCTACCTCTGCCTCCTGGGTTCAAGTGATTCTCCTGCGTCAGCCTCCTGAGTAGCTGGGATTATAGGCACCTGCCACCATGCCTGGCTAATTTTTTTTTTTTTTGAGACAGAGTCTCGCTCTGTTGCCAGGCGCCAGGCTTGAGTGCAGTGGCGTGATCTCGGCTCACCCTCCACCTCCCAACTTTAAGCAAATCTCCTGCCTCAGCGGTCCGAGTAGCTGGGACTACAGGCACGCGCTACCATACCCAGCTAAGTTTTGTATTTTTAGTAGAGACAGGGTTTCACCATGTTGGCCAGGATGGTCTCGATCTCCTGACCTTGTGACCCGCCCGCCTCAGCCTCCCAAAGTGCTGGAATTACAGGCGAGAGCTGCCGCGCCCAGCCAACTTTTCGTATTTTTAGTAGAGACGGGTTTCATCATGTTGGCCAGGCTGTCTCGAACTCTTGGCCTCAGGTATTTACCTGTCTCGGCCTCCCAAAGTGCTGGGATTACAGGCATAAGCCACTGTGCCCGGCCACTTCCTGTAAAATTGTTAAATGGAGGATTGGATGAGAGGTGTGGTTTCCAGCCTGGTGCCGGGGTGCTGAGCTAGTGTGCACCAGGTCACCTTTGCTTTATCTCACACAGCTACCTGGAGCCCAGAGCCAGGTGATAGGTCCCTTTGGACAGCTGGACAGCTGAGGCCTGTGGCTGCCCAAAGCCCAGCCAGGGCCCGGGTCCAGCCTCACCTCCCAGACTCTGCACCTGCTGACACAGCTGCCCACTTCTGTGTGAGCTGCCCCAGGCCCAGGGCCTCAGTTGCAAGAGTGTGTTGGGGAGGGTTGGGGGGCAGGCCATGGTCCTCCAGCACAAAGAACGGGCCATGAGGGGTTCCCACGACCTCCAGAGACTTGCCACGAATGTTCTAGTCCACATATAAGGTTGGGGTTGGGGTTACCATTTACTGAGCACATCTGTATTTGAGGTGCTTGGAGAAGCAGCTGCTATTAGTCACATTTTACAGGTGAGAGAACCGAGTATCACAGAGGCCTGGATTCAAGTCCCTCCTCTGCGACTAACTGGCCTGGGACCCCATCTATCCTTCACTGCTCTGAACCTAGACCCTGGCCACTGTTGGGCTCCCTGCCACTCCTCACGGCCGATGATGGTCATTGTGGGGGTCTCTGCCTGCCTCCCAAGGTTAGGGTTAGGACTTGGGGTGCTCTCACTCAGCCAACAGGGCCACAGCACTGGGAAGTGAAACCATCCCATCTCACCCTGAGTTGCCCTCTGGGTCTGTGAGGGTGGGCTGGCAGGAGGCCTAGGCCCTGCCCCAGATGCAGCCCTGCTTCCTCATTTTATAGCTAGGGAACCTGAGGCTTGGAGAGGGCTCGCTGACTTGCCTACCTTCAAGATGAGTTGAGACGGGCTCAGTTCTGGGGCTTGGGGAGAGGGCCCTGGTGGCTTTGGGAAACACCCTGAGCCCAGAATGAAACATGCTTCTCTTCCTGTGGTTCCATCTGAAGAACTGTGGTGAGCTCTGTACCTTCTGTTAATACAGATTTTTATTGTGAAAATATATGTATTTTTTTGAGATGGAGTCTCACCCTGTGACCCAGGCTGGAATGCAGTGGCGCAGTCTTGGCTCACTGCAACCTCTGTCTCCTGAGTTCAATCAGTTCTCCTGCCTCAGCCTCCCAAGTAGCTGGGATAACAGGCACCTGCCATCACACCCGGCTAATTGTATTTTCAGTGGAGATAGGGTTTCACCATGTTGGCCAGGCTGGTCTCCAACTCCTGACCTCAAGTGATCCGCCCATCTTGGCCTCCCAAGTGCTGGTATTACAGGCAGTAGCCACTGTGCCTGGCCTTGAAAAGATGTTTTTAGAACCAGAAGAAGCCTCGGTTCAGAGGGTCATGTCGTGCAGAGCTCCTCTGCCGGTTGGGGCTCATCGCAGCCCCAGGGAGGTGCTTCCTGTACCGCAGGATGACGGGGTGGGGATTGGGAAAGAGGGGCGCCTGGAGCCTGCTCAGTGCCCTGAGGCAGGCAGGGCTTACTGGGACCATTTCATAGAAAGGCAGAAGCTCAGCTGGGAAACGGCTTTTGAGGGTGTCCCAGGTCCTGGAGGGATGGCCTAGGACACCAGGGTCACACCAAACATGGGAGGGCCGTGCTGTTCTCTAGAGGGGAAATGAGGGAAGGGCCACAGCCCCTGGCTCTGGCTGCCGCCGAGTACCAACAAGTACCACTCGGCTCCTGGCGCACACATCCTGCCCTATCTCTGCACGCCCTCCTCCCTTCACCTAAAGGGACTGCCTGCTGAAGGGCTGTGCCAGGAGGACTCCCGACCTTGGGGAAGAGGGACTGGGACTGCCCGAATCTTGACAGACAATCCCCACCACTTCAGAAGTGTGTGTGAGTGGTGATCCCTTTTAAGCCATCTTCCAGAGATTTGATGGACACAGAGCAGACCCCCGCCAATCTGCCCTCCTTTGGACCCCTAGGAAACTTCACGGCTGCTGGGATTCCATTCCCTTGCACTGCCGTCAGCTTTATCCCTGCCGCGTTCTGAGCTGCTCAGAGCTGAGGCAGAATCCCTTTTTCATTCATTTCCTGCAGAATAAAACAACATACAGAAAAGTGAGAAAAACGTAAATGCACAACCCGACACCGTTAGGAAGTGAACATCTGTGCAGCCTCCGTCAGGAACTAGTTTTGCCAGCACCCAAATGCCCTCCCCTCACAGTGTCACTTCCGGCCTCTGCCCTGGCTTATGTGAGTTTTGCATTCTTGTTTTTCTAAAAAGTTTTCAGCACCCGATCATGTAGCCATCACAGCATGTTCCTGTTTCTTTGTTTTGTCCCCATGAATCATAACGATGCAAGCTCTGGAAACTGGCTTCTTCGGCTCATCGTTGTCTGTGGGATTTATTCGTGTTGCTGTGCGTAGTGTAGTCTGTTCACGTTCATTGCCGACAAGTTCCATTGTCCGGCTGTATCATGATCCATGGATTCATTTTACCTGCGATCGAGCTTGTCCAATGCATGCAGCCCAGGATGGCTTTGAATGTGGCCCAACAGAAATTTGTAAACTTTCTTAAGACATTATGAAATGGTTTTTTAGATTTTTTTTTTTAGCTCATTAGCTATGGTTAGTGTTAGCGTATTTTACGTGTAGCCGAAGACAGTTCTTCCAGTGTGGCTCATGGAAGCCAAAAGATTGGACATGCCTGCTGTAGATGGACAGTTGGTTTATTTCTAGTTTGAGGTGATCGCACACCATGCTGCTGGCAACAATTCTGTCTGTGTCTCTGATGCACATGTATTTTTTGCAAATGGTACATGAGTTTTTCTAGGGTTTATACCCAGGAGTCTGACTCCTGGATT